TTACATATATACATAAATTTGACATTGATCTAAAGCAAACACGGTAAAAAACTGTTTCCTCCTCTCATTAACAACACCTGAACAGAATCATGGTTGACCATAAGCCCATCCCCCATCAAAAGATCAGAACTCAAAATAAAATACGCCCCCTGGTGGGGATAAACACAGGACCAGACAAATGGATCCTATAACTACAAAATGCGTATGATGTCAACGATTACTGCCTGAGCTAATTAGTTAATACAAAAATAAACCGAAAAATATTACAGAAAAAATGGAAGATAAACAAAACACTAAACAGTGCATTTAAAATATATTCATAAAATATAGGTGTGTATATATTTATTATTGTTTATTATAGGCAGAAAATGGACATGGCTTCATGCTCTAGTCGGGTTATTATACCTTCAAGGTCAATTATGTATCTATAGAATAATTATAGGTATAAATATAACAAGCTCATATATCTGATAAGATCTTATAGATGGCATCTGTATTTTTATGTGTTTATTATTTTTATTTACAGGTGTTGACCACTCTGTAGTCCCAGAGTAGATTCCCCCACATTAAACGGAATCAACCATTAATTAACTCTCTGCCTGAAACCACCCTTTGGAGTGTTTTTTATTTTTCCTACCTCCCTTCCTGTGAAAACATTGATCAGCTGGCTCATTTAAATACAAATTGACATCCATGCGGTGCTTTGCATGAACCATTTATGGTTGAATATTAGCGTGTAGAGAGCTGAACATGAGGTGGAGCCTTATGGTGCTGTCACACCTCAACGATGTAGCCGACGTTTGCCTGACGTACGAAAAATCTGGCAAAAACGCTGCCTTTTGTTGGATAAATTATACGTACACCCGGGCACACGTCGACATACGGCAAGTATGGCGAGATATTTTGAGCATGCTAAAAATTTCCTGACATATGTGAGTGTATAACATACGTGGGGCATAAGTTACAGACAACTTATCTGATGGTTGACATACGCTGACATCATTAGTCATTGCTTATCCAAAACCTATGAGGAACTTATGAATAACTTATCAAGAACTTACCTCCAACGCATATCAACATATTTGTCGTGTTCCAGACGACCGCTGTACGTGTTTCTAACAGCTACTGTTTAATGGCGTATTGGCAACGTTTTGGTATGATAGGGGAAACCGTCAGTACTCCTCCAGACTTTATGGTGAGCAGACGTTCCACAAGAGATGGAGGATCCGGCCAGGATGAGACGGGAATCCATACAACCTCAGCATCATCTCATCACTTTTTTGGTGGGCCGTAAACGGCAACTAGGTTAACAACGCAACTGCCAAGGTTAGATAAATCTTCCTGNCATACAACCTCAGCATCATCTCATCACTTTTTTGGTGGGCCGTAAACGGCAACTAGGTTAACAACGCAACTGCCAAGGTTAGATAAATCTTCCTGTGCTTTTTATGCAGGCTGGGCGCCTCCAGGCACATTGCTGCCCCCCTCAGGACACTGGCTTCTGACCTATTATGGGCATTACGCTGCGTTATGCATAAGTTAGGCTGTCATTGGACATAAGTTGTGGACTTGTTATGAATACACTATGTATACCCCCAAAAATAGAAAAAATACGTAGAATGTTCAGCATATACAAACATTTTAGAAGATTCTGATACGTCGGGCATAGGCTGTCTAAATCCTCAAGATGTGACAGCACCGTTACATTCAAACTTTGAGCTGCAGCTTTGATTTAAAAAAGACAATTTCTTGATCTCTTGCCTGCAATAATAAGTCAGAATGTACACAAATATGTATGTGTGTATATATACAGAGATAGATTACAGAACATTTGTAGATAATATGAAATCAAGTTTTTCCTGTTGATGATGAACCTTATAGATTTAAAAAAGGACATGGAAAATGTAAAGGAAAATATGACAACACCAGAAAGAGCAGCTGTACATAAAAAGGAATAAAAAGGAATGAGTTTATTTTGGAGCAGAGGGGGCCTGCTGCGGATCAGGCATTATATTAGACACACTTAGAGAGGGCTTAATGATTATAATGCTAGCAGAAAGTGTATATCTAGGTCAGCTAACATCCTGAGAACGGGTCTTCTCTGTAAGCAGATCATAGTGAGGGTGGGCTTTGAGCTGCTGCAACATAAACTTGTTGGGCGGAGCCTGGTGTTACTGGAGGTTTCTCTCTGTTAGAGGGGATTTGTTGCTCTCACTGTCGCCCTGTGCTTGTTGCATGAAGATAAACTAAACTACAGTTAAAATTTCTTATCTAAAAAAAAAATGCCTTTGTTTGCCCCTCATAAGAAACAAAGATTAATGAATTGAAATGAACGGCTTTGAATCTGAACCTGTCTGACTAATATAATAAAAGAAGCCATGATTTTCTCTCTCTGTAGCGAGAAACAAGCTGTTTTAGACCTACCCTCTCATCCTGTGTGTGGTTCATATGGTTCCACATGTCTTTTTTAAAACTGATTCATGTTTAGATTTTATTGAGCCTTCCAGGGTACCTGGATATACCTCTGTATAATCTTATATTGGCTCTTCCTCATGTTTGGTTTACTTTTTTGCTTGAGATGTTTCCTGCACCATGTCAGAGCTTGGTGCATTTGCAACGGTTGAGGGCTGTCAGCGATATCAGCGTAGTAACAATTTCCCTGTCAGGGACTCACTTTTAGAAAGAAACTGTCAACGTTTAAGATAGTGAAGCTGTCAGGTATTTCTGGGTCGTATCGAGGCAGTGGGATGTTTGTCTGCAGCTAAATATGAATGTTGCTGTTTTTTTTTTTTTTTTAAGTTTTAAAAAACAAAAATTCTTTGTTACGTTATAATAACAGGTTTTATTACTGTTTCTAAGGGGTTGTTAATTTCCACAAATGTTTGGGCTGAGGGGGTTTAGACATTACTCATGGGGATCTTTAAGAATGGACAAAAAATTTATTTAAACAAACTGGATCAAAAGCAACCTACTCTATTATAAACTTCTTGTCACTGACGTCAGTGTTATTGATCAAGTCCGACCGTAATATTTTACACCCACATAATCCCACCCTGTCTGAAGTTATGGTGTTTGATTTGCTTTAAGTATCGGTGCTAGGTGATAGCATTGCAGTTTCCAGCTTATAGACGCTCATATTTTCCATAGCAGCTTCGGAGTCAAGACCACCTCGACACAAACTATGGAGTCAATTTTGTTCCATATTTGTTGCAAAAATATATTGTTTTAATGGAAATTTGAAGCAAAATACAATCCATAAATGAAACTCTGAAAACATTTTAATCCAGTGATGGTTTAAGAGTCACCTTGCTTTTTTGTAATATATTTTATGTTTTACAGATTTTATATTTTCAAAAATATATATTTTTTTAGATTGAGTTTTATGAATTGGAATATTTTTAAATTACATTTCACAGATCAGATTGTCTTTCCTTCAAACCCAATACAAAGCCTCACATTTGACCATAAAAATGTTGCTAACTTCCTATAGAAATGTGTAATCTGTAATAGATAATTAGAAAAGAATCCAAGCCAACTCTGAGCCAGCTCCCATGTCAGAGGATGAAGAGAGCACATCCAGCCAGTCACAGTCAGAGAAACGGGACTACAC